ACAAATGCAAAGCTCTGGTCAAATGCAAAACTCAACCTCTGCTCTTGCATGAAAATACTTAGGCACAATTCAAGCAATTGTGTTTGGAAAGGTGTCCCTTCATGTCAGTAGCACACAAACACAACAGCTAATGCATGCTGGTTCTCCCAAACTTGATTTATTACCACAAGTGTCTTACCATTGCTGGAAATTTTATAGCTAGTACTGTAATTCAAATAACAGCTGTCCACATCTGTCAGAAAGCTCCCTGCTGGAAAAAAGTAACGATTGACCAACCTAATCACAGGAACTAATTTCTACAATTGTTTCCTTAACATTATGCCTCCTCATACGCTCAGACTATCATATAGGGAGATTCTGGCCCACATACCAAGACAAAGTGAGAAACAGAGATACAGAACATTATAGTGAGACAAGACTTTCACAGAAACCTAAATGCATGAGGTATTCAACTCATGATGACTCACTACCAGTGAAAAACATTCTATTTTAAAAATGTCAGCTAAAGAGAACTGGTCTAATGAAGGATAAGACAACTCCAGCAAGTAAATATAATTCAGCTCATATGGTAATATTTGGAGATTTCTTTGGATGAACAATTTTTCAATGGCAACCAAAAGATCAAACATCTTTTGCCACATAAAACAGATGGGAAGCTAAACATGTAGTCTGATTCTTTGATATATTTGATAGATTATCATTTGAAGCAAAATACCTTAAAGTCCACTTTAATTACCAGCAAAACAGACTGATACAGACTAGCAAATCCTATCCTGATTTCTGTTTATGCTGCTTCCTGGAAAAAGATTTCAGACAGAAATGTAGGAACCTACTGTTTTTATAGTACTATTTCTCAAAACAGTTTTCAAATAGATTTACTCATTTACTGTGAAAAAGACTTGGTATGACAGAAATATTAGTAATAATTATTTATACTATTACAAGTATCTAAAATCTTGTTCCTATATACTAGCATGTAATTATTTTATGGTCTAATATTTTGTGAAGGGCCAAGGTTAGAAACATATGCTTCTGTGTGGTACATAGTTCAACACATGTAACTGGAAATCCTAAAATCCTAGCTGTGATAAAGAATTTAGTTAGGTGTGTTGAACTCAGGTGTTAGTCAGGATATTCAATTAGGATCTGTCACAGTTCCATGAAAGGGAAAGACGTATCTGCCTTGGATGCGTGGCATGCAAAATTTGGTGGGGAAAATTATGTATTTTCATATTATGGTAAGTGCTGTTTAATGTTTACATCATCCATATGGAAGTCTAAAATATTAGCCATAGAAGCAGTTAATCAGATGGCAAAGTGAAGAGGATAGGTTTTACTTCAGGTCTCTGTACATTATGTTATAACTATTTGAATTAAGGCAATTATACCAGGAAACATATATATGTATACACATATATATATATACATCAATTTATTAATTTCACCAAAAGATTTGCTCTGCTGCTATCAAAATCAATTATGAAGTTACAGCAAATTTCAGTTGGTATAGGATGACTTCTTTAACAGCAAAGTTACTCGGGCATAATGCAGACATTTTACATCCACTTTAGTAAAAGCTATCAATTAGTACAAGTGCGCTGAGAGGCACACACCCAAACAGAGAGCAAGTTTTGGCTTTGTAATTCTGCAGTTCTCTTATTCTTTCCCCCATGCCTCTCTTTGCTACCTGCACAAGCCATCTGCCAGCCAAAGGTTAGAGAGATCTGCAGTGAACACCTCAACAAACAGCACGGTGCCAAAACCTGACACCCAAAAAAGTGGCACTGTGTAATTATTCTTTATTTCTAAACCTATTTCCTAATAATTTGAGTAATTTGCAATTGTCTGTGTACCACAAGGTTTAATTTTTAGAAGAAGTACGTGATGACCAGAATAAAACCTGATTTAATATACTGGACTTACTGGGATATATATCTTTTGTTCAGTAACAAATGAGTACTTTACAATACATATCAGGATTGTAAGCTTTGTCTCTTAACAGAGACCACCAAATCCTTGTATGGTCCTTAGCATTTAAGCTATTAAGAAGAAATTGCATAAACAACAGCCAAACCTTTTAAGACTGAAGTACTTGGTATTCTTCCATTTAGCAGCAAGTTATGAAGTTTCATTTAAAAAGGGTAATTCTAACAATTAGCTCATCCTGCTGAAACACAGAGACACTGCTGGGAAATACAAAAATGGTTTATTAAATCAAATGATATGACTGCACTTCAACTAGCACTTGGGCATTAGAGATCAAATATTCCCTATAGATTAATCCCCATGGCATCACAGGCTGATTTGCCTTGCTGGTATTACATTAGTAAACCATCTAATCCAATTTCGAGCAGGCCAGGAATGTTCCATCCATTACGGTATTTCTAGTGTCATTATAAGCAGACTGATCGAATAAGCATCCTAAATCAGCTTGCAGCACACAAGTAAATCACTGTGACTTGCCCTGCAAAATGTTTTTTCCAAATAAAAATTAAGGAAAAAAAAAAAAAAAAGAGCACCATGTAATCAGATGGAACCTTTTTGTATGGTTTTGATTTCTGAGCTCCTGTGAATAGTGGAATTTCTTGGTCCATCAGCACATGAGATTCTTCTCTCTATAAGATAGCAGTGCAGAACTTAGTGGAAGCTCCTTATTTTGCAGAAAGCTTGTTTTCAAGGAAAGAAGTGGAACACCCCCCCCCCCACAATAAACACTAATAAACAAAGCAGGCTGAATGAGGGCAGAGCATGATACTACTCTCGCACATAAAATCTGCTGTATAAAATTGGAGTAACCATAGCAATAAAATCTATCAATCAAATATATTGCAAAAGTTGCAATAGAAAGGATGAAATGAGAGTCCAAACTTTGTATTCACACAAAACAAAACCCACACAAGTGTGTTACAAAAATTGTATTTTCACTCAAAACAGGAATATCTGAAAGAAAACAGATCTTCAATAAAGAAGTAATATATGAATAGAACGTGGGCGACAGGTCTTTGAGATGACACAGCTATCAGGAAGATTTCAGAAAAGGGCTGGGCTGCAGCTTCAGAAAGCCAGGAATCAAGCTGAATAAAATCATCAAAGTGGCATGTAACCTTTGCTGCCCTCTGAGACCTATCACGTTGCACCAGCAGGGCCACGCAGGGCTCAGCTGCGCTATTTAAGCAATCAGCCATAAAAAAGAAACACTGCACCAGTGCACAAGTTAGTGAATACCTGCTCCTGTTCAGGAGGATAAGGGCTCTCACGTATGTGAGTGTTTCACTTCTGTTTAATGGCAAAGTTGCTCTTCTGTCAGTCAAACAGCTCTTAATCTTGTCTGGACCCTTTGCATAATAACTAAGGTAAAAAGAAAACTGCTGATTCTTTGTATCCTAACTGCAGCAGATCCTAACAGCTACCCAGAGATGCAGAAATGGATGCATCAGGAACTATTTTCACTCCAAATAGTTACATATCTGGATAAAAGACGATTTTGCAACAGAGGAAAACATATACAGATCCAAGGCAGGGTGACGTTCTGCAAACATGCACAGATACCACATGTCTCTGGAAATTCCTTTCTTGGATCTTCCTTCCCACTTCCCGGAAAATACTAGATGTTTGAATGACTAAACTTGGGTTACTGGGGGGATGATGGCATTTCACAATGAAAACAGATGTTTTATGCTTGCAGGCTTTCATTCTTTCAATGAAAACACATCTCCTTTACTTTTGAAGGGAAACAAACACCTGTGACAGGAAAAAATCAAACGAAAGAAAAAACAACCACTACCTCAACAAATGTTTAATCTGCAAGAAAAAGCTGAAGATTTTCAACAGTTTATTCAGAATCCTACCCAAATTTCTTGTCAAAAAATTAAATCCTTTCCCAGCACTACGTTGAAAAGATCAGTCTTAAATTAAATCCATCTGAGAGAAATAAAATGAGAGAAATCCTAGCAAACCCAGTAATCCATCCTCAAACACAATGGCAACTTGCACCAAGCCTCTGTTCTTGTTTTCCCATGTTCTTTTGATCCCAACAGGCCTGTCCTTGGCAAACCCTTCTCAGCAGGACATGGAAAACCACATTAAGCCAGCTAGAGCTTGGGAAATCTGTTCTATCCTTTGCTTACACTGGCTGTACTGGTGTCAAACATTATTATTGTTATTAACAGCACAAACCCAGATTGCAGCAGTAAATCATGTCCCTCCCAAAGCTGATTACTTGTCAAACATTTATCATCAGTGTAAATAACAAATGTACCTGATTAACAAAATCCAAAGGCCTGTTCTGATGTAAAAAGGCCGTAGCCTCGCAATTTCTCTAATGAACTTCCCTCATGGTCCACAGTAGAACACGTCAGATTTACCAAATCCAATTTCTAAATAAAAGTGCAAATGCTTTGTAGAACTAATGACTGAACACATGCTTGAATTATGGCCACATGTTGCTTCTCTATGAAACAGCAGATTGAACAATCACACACACAGAAATATTTTGCTTCTTTATTTTTCCCTCTGGTTTGGCTTAGCTGGGTTGGAAGAAAATTAGGTGAGGACACTGGGGAGAAAGACCCAATCCTTCCTTTTTTTCCTTTGCCTCTTAAGAGGCAAGTAGAGACACACTGTTCCCCTGTCCACAGGAGGTTGTTTAACCTCCTTGTGTCTCCTTGCCATAAATCTGTTTTCCCTGACACACTGTTAAAGTAGAGTCTTCTTAATAATATTAGGCCCTAGTCTGAGATGCCAACATGGAGGAGGGTAGGAAATAGAGCTGCTTCTGATAGGCAATTCTGCCTGCCACTAAGTAACCTTCCCTATAGCAGTAGTTTTCTGGGCATTGAACAAACAACCTGATGCCTTGGGTAAATGCTCAGAGACCTAAGTGGGTGAACCCAGATCCAAATGTTGAGCCCTTAATCATTAGATTGATGGGGGAGGCAGAGTGTGGTTTGAAGTTTCATCACTAGCAAGACATAATGGAGGCTCCATTTCTGAGTGCTCACCCATAAGGTGGAATCTCACTGTCAAGTCCTTCCAGTTGTCAAGTGAAGTTCAAAGAAGCAGCTAGTCCCTGGTATCTTCAAAACTCACATGCAAAATGGCACAAGGTGGGCATCTGACAAAGGAAAGGTACAAATTAATTCACTATCACCTGAGTGAAGAAGGAAAGCTATTTCCTGGCACAGAAACAAGTGACATGTAGCCAGCTTTATATAGTGACCACAATTCTAGCAAGAAAGACAATGCAGAGATAAAACTAAGTTTTCTTCTGACATCACTCCAACTAAGTGAACGAGATAATAACAGGAAAGGATTTGGCCTCCTGACCATAGTACCAAGAAAATTCTCATGCACTGGCAGATTTTATATACAGCATGTTGAAAGGAAATGTAAATGTTACCATGACTGAGCTTGCATTTCCTGATATCTCAAAAGGCACTTGTTTCCCAAATGAGAGCATTAAACAAAGAGGCAAGGGTTACGTTCCTACATACATCATAAGTGCTGAATGTTACATGTGAAGGAAATATTTTTGATTGCTATAGATGCAGCACTTCTAATGAATCAAGGTGCACCAGTGGAGTTTTTCAACTGCTTGTCTACAATTTTGCTAGCTCCTGTATATTCAAACTAGTAGTTATCCTGAAAAGACTATGCTGGATATGTGCAAGGGGAGCACACACAGACACCTTTTGATCAGCAAGGCAATTTCCTGGGGCAATGTGCTGATCAACACACTGAACTGAAACATCTGCAGGATAAAGGATTGTGTCTGAAAACCCTGTGTTTGATGCCCATAATTGTGACAGTCATTGCATATTCTGCTCAATGCTTTTTCTGTTTCAGTACTTTCTCCCTTTACAGAGAAGCTCCAGCAGCTTCTTAAATGTGGTTGGTAACTCAAAGTACATTTGGGAAATCAGTCAGAGAGAAAGGCTTTTCTTCTGTATGTTTTGCTGCTTTCCTATGAAGTGACAGAAACGATGCACATTTGCCTTCTTTGCAGGGTTTCTCCTTACAAAAAAAAAAAGGGGGGGGGGGGAACAGCCTGAAATAACAATTTTTTAGTGTTAGCACTGTTTACTTTAGGAGGCTTAAAGCTGCTTAAAACCTGTCATGTTACTATCTGGGCATGCAGTTTTTAAACTGCATACTATTAACTTTTTAAACTACAGCAGTGTAAAAGTCTATTGTATCTCAAGATTAAGTTTGCAGAGCTGCCAAAGATGCTTTTCCTCTGTGCTAAACATGATTTGAAAAACACTGCAAGCCAAAGCATTTGCTGTTATTTGCAAGGAACCGTATGCTAAAAACCAGACAGGCAAGCAGAAAAGTGAGGCCCAGATACAAATGCACTCAACCCTGGCAGCAGGATTCACTAACCATTGTTATGAAGGGAATACACTGGAGAGAAAGACTAAGTGAGGTGCAAGACACCTAAGTAAAGGAATAGGGAAATGATAAACAAAGAACTCTTTCTGATGTGTTGCTTTTGTCTGTTACCTATTTCATACAGTGGGATACCAGGAAAGGCTGTGAGTCTTCTGTGCATTGGTTCACCTGCATCAAACCATTCTGCTGAGAAGCAGCATTGCTATGCTACTTTTGGTAGTTGGGCTATTCTTGGCATGGTTAGTGATTTGCCCAAATATACCCACTTCATTTCCCCCTGGCTTCTCTGGGCCTAATCCTTGTGAAACCTCTCTATACAGTTGAGGGTGAAGAGCACCTCCACTTTGGAAAGAGCCCGCAGTATGGATGCTGGTAGTGTTTGACAATGTGTATTTGATCTTCCTCAGCCTGAAAAGGGCATAGGGAATAATCTTACACTTCCCAGAGCAATGCTCTTAGGGGCTCAAATGTCATCTAGAGGCTGGGAGCAGCCATACTAATACCAGAGCTTTTTACACCAGCGGCTATCACTTTTGAACTCAGTATTGAAGATGCGTGCTCCTGTGTTCTGCAGAGGTCTACATTTTGGATACTCAAGTGCACAAACACCTTGTCTGTTGTCCCAGAATGGCTGCAGGGGGAAGCTCTGCCAAAATGGGCAGACTGCCTTTCAAAAGGTGCCAAGCTCCTTAGGCATTGAAGGGGCCAAGCAGGGCTTTTGTGCAATTCAGTCACTTGTGTTTCCATGTCCTAGGACAGAATTCTTTTTGATGGACTTAAAATGCTTCCAAAATGAATGAGCTAAATTTCCAGGCACTTTAACCTGCCAGGCATTTTCCCTGGCAGCAAAATCCCTCTCAGCTCTGCAGACAATGTTCAGGATACAGGATGGCCCTCCACTGCTTTTACAAACTGGGTCACAATGACACATACATTGGAAGGAGTGGTGGGTAAAAGGCCTTGCTTTTCAACCCTGCTCACACCTCCTAGCTGCCAGAGCAGAGTCTGCTTCTCCTCTGAATACAAGGTGGTTGCCAGGTGGTTTGCCAGGACTCTCAGTAAATGGAAAGTAAAAGCCATTTGTGAACATAGGTAAAAGCACCTGCAAAGGGACCACAGATTGCTTAGCCTTTAGCTGCTTGTAAGGTTTCATTTTAAAAGTCATTTAAAGTACTTATGAGAGCCAATCAATCTCTAAACTCTGATTACAGCGACCATGTAAGCTTTGGTTTCTCTGTATTTTTTACTAGAAGAACATATTCAGTGATGGAGCTGTAACCTCAACAGCAAAGAAAAATGAAGGCGGGTAGGAGGAAAGAACAAAAAAACAACAGGATAAAATTTTATGACCTGATCCAGAGCTTCTGGAATTTATTAGAAAGCATTCCACTGCCTTCAGCACATTTTCCTATCAGAAAATGTTGCCCAGAACATGCTTTACAGCTACATTAGAAAGCTCTGAATCACAATCTTGTTACACATAGAGCTCAATGGATATTTTATTAGGGCCAGGCTAAAAAGATGCTTCTACAAACCTACTGATCTCTTTACCTTTCTCATCAAGAGGTGCCAATGGGAGGAAAAATGGCAAGGGTGCTCTGTCAGCGAAAGGGAGATCCAGAGCTCCCTTACGGGAGGCCACATATACTAATCCTGTTTGTCTCGGGTGCAAAAGAATTCTTCAAAGTTAAAGAACTCAGAGGATTTATCAAGCACTTTTCAGTCTTCAACTGGATTTAGCAAGTGAAGCATTTTCAAAGCCTGTAGATTAGTAGTACACAATTGGTCTCATATAAACAGGCATAACAAGGCTCAGCTTGATGTTTCAGTCAGTGACAGTTTACACGTTTCTGAAGACAAAAGGTGTCATTCCACTTGCAAAAAAAAAGATGAAAAGATTGTTTTACACTTTTGTGAATTGCTTCGGAAGACAAGGGTTAGCCCTGTTGTCTGTTGTCAGATGACTCCTACTGCACTTGTGCTCATCACAATGAAGTTAACAGGATTGGCAATGCTTAACAGGTTCTTTACAACTTGGATAATGTCTTGTTGAATAATTAGATTTTAAAAAGTTTATAAAGAAAACCTGCACAGATACAGGTTTGGGGCATATTTATCATGAAAATAGATGCTAAGCTCTGTTATCAATAAATGCAGCTGAGTTTCCTGGAGCCTTTGGTGGGGCTAGAATTTCACTATGTGATCTCTGAGTACCAGAAATTTTCTTTTAACGGGAGAAGCTGAAAGAAGCTCCTGAAGCCAAGTTAACCAATGTTATCATTTGTGGTCACTATGAAATCCTGTGTTCTCATACCTCGGGCAGAGAAACTTAAACCACAGTAGGAAGAAAAAGGTTCACTTCTAGAGTTGTTTAAAACGCAAATAGAAGAACTATGAAATAGTGGAATAAATATTCTTTTTTCTTTTTTGATCTTTCAAATTTGAAAAAAGAGAGCTTCATAAGTAACCAAAGAGGATGGGGGAGAAGCATTGACAAAAAAAGTTGTCATTTCTCTTCAGTTTAATTATTTTCTTCCTACATTGTCATATGGAAATAAGTTCTACCAGCTCTGCTTCTTACCTGGACTCCTAATCAGGCATAAGAATATTAAAATCCACAGCTGATTGTGCTCTAAGCCCCAGAACACAGCATTCTTTCTCAGTAAAACAAAGCCTTGGTTGAGATGCCTGTGAAGTAAGTGGACCCTTAGCTATGCTAGTAACTATAGCTAGTTACTAGCTATGCTAGTAACATACTGTCTTCAGTGAACGTACCCTAGAAGACGGGGAGAGGCGTTGAGCCCTTCAACCATACAGTAAGATTAACTTTAAGGTCTGTTTCAGTAAATCTTCCTTTAAGCAAGTAACAAATCCTCTTTTTTCCATTGGACAGTGAAGCATGATACTGCTGAGTATTACCAATATTATCATATACATGGCACCAGACCCAAACAGTCCCTGTGTCAGTGGGCCTGAGTTAGGGCCCATTGTTCAGCACACGTGAGAAGAGTGATGAAGGGATTCATCTCTCACAGCATGTAGTGTTTACATTTAGATGGTCATCTTACCATTTACACCTCTAAACATTAACAGAATGTTAAACTGCATGTAGTTCACTTCTGCTTTCCTGCAGCTCTTGGGGTTCAAAATACAGCTTTCAGCTCAAAGAAATATCATTATGAAAATACTTCCTATAATTTGAAAGACCGAAATCATCCTATTCCAGTAAACTACTCAGTGTAGGTTAACTACAACAGTTCACTGATTAGCAACCAGTTTAGTTTTTACAGTATATTCCTATGAGTCTATAAGAATACTTGACCTGTGGTTTTAGGTGATAGGTTACACTAACAATAATGTGGAAGAAGCTGAGCTACCAGCAGTGGAGGTTGCTGGTGCAGGTAGGAATCCTCCACCTGTTCCAATAGTAAGGATTTACGCAAAATTTCCAGTTCTGCACAAAGAACTGGACTTCGTGGGTTACTTCATTTTTGGGAAGGCAATTAGCTGAAACATGCTGAAATATTAGATTATTTCCACACTTGGGTACCATAAAATAGTTTAGGATTACAGAGTCAGGCTCACAGACATACGAGTGAAACTTTTTCCTTGGGTTACGCTTCTGCAATTAGTTTGATGATAGGATTGCAGGAGTATAACCAAGGACTGAATTTGCAAAGTCACACAGATCTTGATGTCTTTGAACAACTACAGTCATTTGGC